CCTGACTGGCCCCAGACCCTCCCTGCCCCAGACACCCCGACACTGGATCCCCCCGACCCCAGAGTCCTCCTGACTGGCCCCAGACCCTCCCTGCCCCAGACACCCTGACACTGGATCCCCCCGACCCCAGAGTCCTCCTGACTGGCCCCAGACCCTCCCTGCCCCAGACACCCCGACACTGGACCCTCCCAACCCCAGAGTCCTCCTGACTGGCCCCAGACCCTCCCTGCCCCAGACACCCCGACACTGGACCCTCCCGACCCCAGAGTCCTCTTGACTGGCCCCAGACCCTCCCTGCCCCAGACACCCTGACACTGGACCCCCCCGACCCCAGATCCTCCTGAGTCCTCCTTGACTCCACAGACCTCTCTGACCGCAGACCCTCCCCCGGACCCCAGAGCCCTTCTTGATCCATAGGGTCTGGCCCCAGACCCCACCTTACCCCAGACCCTCCCTAACTCCATACCCTATCCGACCCCAGGTCCTCCTGACCTCAGGTCCCCCCCGACCCCAAAACCCTTCCCAACCCCATAGTTCTCCCGAACCCCAAAGTCCTCCCTGGCCCTGGACCCTTCAGACCCTGTGCCTGGAGGTGGGGAGGGTGCCTGCTCATTGTGCTTCCTTTGTCCTCCATGGCCTGGAAGTCTGGAGAGTGGGCAGCAGGCTGGCCGACCCTGACTTCTTCCTGTCCCAGCTGCTCAGGGTCCTTGCAGCAAGAGGCAGCTGGTGCTGCCAGAGGCCGGCCTCCTGGCTATGACCTCCATCGGCCCCCTTCCTCCTGCAGGTCTGGAGAAGGAGGGGCCCCCCAGGAAGAAACCAGGCCTTGCTTCTTTCCGGCTCTCAGGTCTGAAGAGCTGGGACCGAGGTGAGCAGGCCCAACACAGAGACCCGGCCCTATTGCCTCTCAGGATCCCACCAGGGTGTCCAGACCAGTGGCGAGCAAGCTTGCACTCACAGGGGTTCGGGAACAGAGGAGGGGCCCTGGTGGGTGTGGTGAGCTAAGCAGTCTTGGAGGACTTCCTGGAGGAGGTGGTGGTGGTGCAGCTGGGCCAGGCTGGGGGATGGGGGTGGGGGGAGCAGGGCTCCTCCTGGTATCCCCACTGCAGGGTCCAGGCCATGCTCTGGGACCTGGAGATTACCCCTGAAGGCTCACCTCACCCTCCCTCTTCAGCGCCGACATTCCTAAGGGAGCTCTCAGATGAGACTGTGGTCCTGGGCCAGTCAGTGACTCTGGCCTGCCAGGTGTCGGCCCAGCCAGCTGCCCAGGCCACCTGGAGCAAAGGTAAGAAGCTGTCAGAGGGGCTGGGGGCTGCAAGATGCCTTGCTATCTGGAGGGAAGCTGAGACCAGGGAGAGGCGTGGGGCCTGGCTGTGGATGAGGCTCGCTCTGTCCTGTTGCAGACGGGGTCCCCTTGGAGAGCAGCAGCCACACCCTCATCTCGGCCACCCACAAGAACTTCCAGTTTCTGACCATCCTGGTGGTGGCAGCTGAGGACCTGGGTGCGTACACCTGCAGCGTGAGCAATGTGCTGGGGACGGCGGCCACCACGGGCATCCTCCGGAAGGCAGGTGCGTGAGCTGCACTGGGGGTCCCAGCAGGCCAGGCCAGGGCGGCTGGGCTGGGGCTGCTGGGAAGCCTGTTCTTGCATGGAATGCTTCTGGGGCTGTGCACTGGTCGCTGCGGCGTCCCCTCCCCCACCCTGAGCTGCCCGAGTCTCAATGGGGCCAGGTACCACACATGGCCAGGGCCCCAGGAGGCCTGAGAAGGTCAACACAGAGGTCTGAACGCACGGGCTGCCCTGGGCTGGCAGCCGGCCCTGGGAAAAACAGCCGGAAGCAGCTGCTGGCCATACAGGGCTGGGAAGGAAGCTTCTAGGCCACACTCCCCGCCAGGGAGAAAGCCCAGCCCACTGACCGCTGGCCGGGAGAACTGAGCTTCTCTGGTGCTCACATGATCCCTTGCTCCACCTTCCCACGTTCCTTCCACGCCCATCCCTCCAGCCCAGGCAGGATGGGCTGCTTCCCGTTCTACATCTCTCTCAAAGCGCAGTTCACTGGGCGTTTCTCAGGTCATCAGGACGGGGGCTACAGGCCTGGCTCTGGGATGCCCAGCCCAATGCCCCGGGGTGGGGGCACCTGCCTGAACCTGTGCAGGGCTGACCCGGGAAAGCCCACCAGCCGCACCAGGGCCCCTCTGACCACAGCCTGGGGCCCTGCACAGCGTTCTGGTCACACCCAGGTGAACGGGGCCGGCCTGGCAGGGCAGACACCCCCCAGCCCACCAGGAGAGGCCCCTCCTACCAGTCCCTCACTGTGACTGGATCCTGAATGAACAAGACAAGGGAGGGTGGGCTCCAGAGCCCTGGCAGCTGCCAGGATGAGGCAGGGGCCAGCCGGGGAATTGCCCTGGAGGCCTGGCGCACACCCTGGCGTCACTGACGGTGGGCAGGACCTTACAGAGCGCCCCTCGTCCTCGCCATGCCCGGACATCGGGGAGGTGTACGCGGACGGGGTACTGCTGGTCTGGAAGCCCGTGGAGTCCTATGGCCCCGTCACCTACATTGTGCAGTGCAGCCTAGAAGGTACGGGGGGGGTCCCTGCAACCGGGCCTCCCAGGGCCCAGAGGCTCCAGCCACCCCTCCTGGGGACCATGACTAGGGGCCCTTGGGGAGGTGCCTGGCCACCTCTGCTGTGTGGGTGGCTTCGGGTTTCTCCACCCGCCCTGACATGGTGTGTGGAGGCCTCAGCAGCCCCTCACATGCTCCTGTGTGGCCAGGCGGCAGCTGGACCACACTGGCCTCCGACATCTTTGACTGCTGCTACCTGACCAGCAAGCTCTCCCGGGGCGGCGTGTACACCTTCCGCACGGCATGCGTCAGCAAGGCAGGCATGGGCCCCTACAGCACCCCCTCGGAGCAAGTCCTCCTGGGAGGGCCCAGCCACCTGGGTGAGCCACACCACACTCGGGGCTTGCGAGGTGGGAACAGCAGCCGGAAGAGCCAGTACATGCTCCGGCCTGCTCAGGGTCTCCATAGCTGTCCACTTCCTTCTGGGAGAGAGCTGCTCCTGGGCTTAGCATTCGAGGCCTACACACTCCAGGGACCACCTCACCCCCCAGGGCCCCCTTCACTCACCTGCACTCCCACACACTTGCTGGCGAGCACACAAGTCCATTCTGCTTCATGCTGAGTGTCGGTAGTGACTGCCCCATGCTGCCTCTAGCTTTGGTGGAGGAGTGCTGGGGTTGATTAGTAATGTCTGCCCTGGGCTTAGGACGGGAAGAGAGGGCACGACTGCTGTAGGTGGTCCATTCTCAACCTCCCTGCAGCCCTCACCCCCACCCTCAGGTTAGCTCTCCCTACTTGCTGTACCCCCTCTCTCTCCCCCTGTACCCACACCCCCAGAACCTCAGGACAAGTGGGAATGTGTAGGAGCTCAAGCCCCACTTGGTGGGACACGGTGGCTCACCCACTTTGGGAGGCTGAAACAGTCAGATCACCTGAGGTCAGGAGTTCGAGACGAGCCTGACCAAACGGAGAAAACCCATTTCCACTAAAAATACAAAATTAACCAGGTGTGGTAGCGAATGCCTGTAATCCCAGCTACTCAGGAAGCCCTGGCAGGAGAATTGCTTGAACCTGGAAGGTAGAGGTTTTGGTGAGCTGTGATCACACCATTGCACTGCAGCCTGGGCAACAAGAGTGAAACTCTGTCTCAAAAAAAAAAAAAAAGAAAAAAAAGAGGCCCCACTTGCCACTTGTCAGGGTGCCTGGGAAGGGGTCATTGGAGAGGAGGTGAGAGCTGGGGCTGTGGAGATGCCCCTCCACCCCCTCTAATCACCCGTCCCTCCTCCCACAGCCTCTGAGGAGGAGAGCCAGGGGCGGCCAGCCCAACCCCTGCCCAGCACACAGACCTTCGCGTTCCAGACACAGATCCGGAGGTGCAGGGGCCTTGGGGGCTACGGGCGGGTGGAGCCAGGGCTTGTATCCCCCTTGCTGGGTACACCTACCTTCTCACTGAGCTGGGTTTCTGCTGCTCTGAGTGTTGGGGATGGGGGGGGAGGGGACCACCCACCAGCCTGACCTCTGTTCCCTTGAGCAGGGGCCGGTTCAGTGTGGTGCGGCAGTGCTGGGAGAAGGCCAGTGGGCGGGCACTGGCTGCCAAGATCGTCCCCTACCAGCCCAAGGACAAGACAGCCGTGCTGCGTGAATACGAGGCCCTCAAGGGCCTGCGCCACCCGCACCTGGCCCAGCTGCACGCAGCCTACCTCAGCCCCCGGCACCTGGTGCTCATCTTGGAGCTGTGCTCTGGGCCCGAGCTGCTCCCCTGCCTGGCTGAGAGGTGAGGGTGGCTTGGGCTGGCGTGGCTGAGCCGATGCACGGTCTGATGGACTGACAGACGCAGGCCTCTGGGGTGGGGCAAGGGGACCAGGCCCCTCTGCACAGCCAGCACTCCTTACAGCCCACAGGGCGTGGTCTTAGCCCTGGCCCTGGTGGCCCCCACCCCGAAGTCTGGGCTGAGCAGCGTCTGCCCCCCCAGGGCCTCCTACTCAGAATCCGAGGTGAAGGACTACCTGTGGCAGATGCTGAGCGCCACCCAGTACCTGCACTCCCAGTGCATTCTGCACCTGGATCTGAGGTCCGAGAACATGATCATCACCGAATACAACCTGCTCAAGGTCGTGGACCTGGGCAATGCACAGAGCCTCAGCCAGGAGAAGGTGCTGCCCTCGGAGAAGTTCAAGGACTACCTAGAGACCATGGGTGCGTGTGTGGACAATTAGGGGGACCTCACCTGGGGGGCAGCAAGAAGCCCCCTCCCCTCCAGTGGTGTCCTCCCCTCCCAGGTCCAGCACCACCCACTCAGCTTTGCACCTGGCCCACATACCTGTGCCCCTGCCTGAGCCCACTCACCTATGCCCATCACCAGTACCCCCACCTGAGCCCAATCACATGTGCCCCTCCCAGCTCCAGAGCTCCTGGAGGGTCAGGGGGCTGTTCCGCAGACAGACATCTGGGCCATTGGTGTGACAGCCTTCATCATGTGAGTCCTCCAACTCGGCTGGGGGTTGTTATGTGGGCGGGGCAGGCTCCCCCATCCACCAGAGGGTGACCTCTGGACCCCTGCACCCCGTCCACCCGAGGGTGACCTCATGGCCCCTGCACCCCCATCCACCCGAGGGTGACCTCAGTGCACCTGCATCCTCTCCCCCTCCGCCCTGGTCTGCCCGAGGGTGACCTCAGGGCCCAAGCACCCGCCACCCGCACAGGCTGAGCGCTGAGTACCCGGTGAGCAGCGAGGGTGCACGCGACCTGCAGAGAAGCCTGCGCAAGGGGCTGCTCCGCTTGAGCCGCTGCTACGCTGGGCTGTCCGGGGGCGCCGTGGCCTTCCTGCGCAGCACGCTGTGCGCCCAGCCCTGGTAAGGCGAGGCCCTCCCAACACTCCCCTCCCCGCCCCCTCCTCCTCGCCGCCCTCCCAGTCCCCTCCTCGCCGCCCCCTGCGTCCCGTCCCGCTGCACTCCGCCACTCTCCCCCCTCCCCCCTCCCTTCCCCTCCCCCTCTCCTCTACCGCTGCTCGGCTGAGCCTCTGTCCCCCCAGGGGCCGGCCCTGCGCGTCCAGCTGCCTGCAGTGCCCGTGGCTGACAGAGGAGGGCCCGGCCTGCTCGCGGCCCGCGCCCGTGACCTTCCCTACCGCGCGGCTGCGCGCCTTTGTGCGCGAGCGCGAGAAGAGACGGGCGCTGCTGTACAAGAGGCACCACCTGGCCCAGGTGCGCTGAGGGTCGCCCGACCCCCTCGCTGCAGACGCGCCAATAAAAACGCACAGCTGGCGCGCCTCCGTCTCCAGGCGTCGTTTTCTTCTGGGGGCGGTGAGGGCTCTGCCCGGTCCTTCCCGGTGGGCCGCGGAGACGCGCCCTGGGGGTCGCTCCCTCCGTCCGACCCTCCCCGCGCGCTCCGCCCCCCGGGCGTCTCCGTCCTCACACCCGCGTGCGCGTTTGTTCCCTCGCCGCCTCCTCCACGCGGGCCTCCAGCCCGCGCCCCGCCGCTGGTTCCGGAACTTCTCTGGCACAAACGGTGCCCAGGGAGGCAAAGCGTGTCAGCGAGGGCGGCAGCCGCGGGCCACGATCCGCTGGCGAGAGGCGGCTTCAGAGTCGCTGGCGCGTGGCCTCTGTGGAAAGCAACCCGGTTTTCCAGATTCCAGGGACAACGCCTGCGCTGGCCAGCCCCTCGCCAAGAGTGCGGGAGGAATGGGGGGGTCGCCCAAAGCTCCTGAGCGTCCTTTCCCGTCTCCTTTGACGTGGGAAGGAAAGGGAACTTGAGACAGGTGCAGCCCTGGAGACCTGGGAGCGGGCAGGCGGGGCCTTCTCCCCTCGGACAGAAAACCCTCTGCAGAGGTCCCTCATACCTGTGTCTAAGCGCATACGGCTCGGAGGCTAACCGACCCCTCTTGGCTAAACGGGTCATGCTGATTCCTGGCCAGCTTAGATTTATGGGGACACCCAGTGATGGAGTTGTCCTGGTCTGACAGCATGCAACCCAGGGTGAGGCCCAGTTGTTTTAAACGCCCCTTTTAGTCACCTAAACACTGGCTGGGCGCGGTGGGTCACACCTGTAATCCCAGCACTTTGGGAGTCTAAGGTGAGTGGATCACGAGGTCAGGAGTTTGAGACCAGCTTGGCCAACGTAGTGAAACCCTGTGTCTACTAAAAATACAAAAATTAGCCGGGCATGGTGGCACGTGCCGGTAATCCCAGCTACTTGGGGGCCTGAGGCAGGAGAATCACTTGAACCTGGGTGGCGGAGGTCGTGGTGAGCTGAGATCATCCACTGCACTCCAGCCCGGGCAACAGAGTGAGACTCCGTCTCAAAAAAAAAAAATCACCCAAACAAGAGCCCAAGTCCCATTGTCAGCTCTTGAGAGCGCCCACCCTCTTCTGGAGCAGCCCAGGGTTCCCAGGTAAGGGTGTGTTCTCCACTGTCCCCAGCAACAGCTTCATTCCTGGGGTCTGGGGCCGCAGGGTGTGGACAGCAGCCTCTACTCTCCTGGTTCTCAGCCCACCTCAGGGGCCCAATGACAGCCACATGCTGATGGGTCCAGTCTGCAGTGTCCAAATGCTGGACGCCTCCCCTGGAAACTTACTGAGGCCAGGACACTTGGAATTAAAATTCAAGCATCAGCCAGGCACAGTGGCTCATGCCTGTAATCCCAGCACTTTGGGAGGCTGAGAGAGAAGGATCATTTGAGCCCAGGAGTTCAAGACCAGCCTGGGCAATATAGGAAGACCCTTGTCTCTACAAAAAAATAAAATAATTAGCTTGGCGTGGTAATTAGCGCACCTGTGGTCCCAGCTACTCAGGAGGTGAGCCCAGAGGTCAAGGCTACAGTGAACTGTGATTGTGCCACTGCACTCCAGCCTGGGCCACAGAGCAAGAACCTGCCTCTAAAAAGAAAACAAATTCAAACATCTAACTTGAACTGATTGCCCTCACTCCCTCTGTCCCCAACTGCCCCTGACTTTACCTTTCTCTTCCTTTATGACCTCAGGACGGTGTGTCAGCACTCAACACACCACAAAGGGCACAGGCACCATGCACTCACTTTCCCACGATGCTGATGTGCAGGGCAGGGGGTAGAGTGGGGGCAGGATCTTTTCCTCACCTATTGCAACGCTCACGGATGAACATTGCATGGATGGCCCCAATCTCAAAGACAGGTTAACAAGATAAAGCATAACACACATCTATTTAACAAAAGGTTTTATGTGACAACTGAGCCTTCAGAAACAAAAACGTAAAAAAAAAAAAAAAAAAAAAAAAAAAAAAAAAAAAAACAAAAAAAAAAAAAAAAAAAAAAAAAAAAAAAAAAAAAAAAACAGGCAAATGTATCTATTTATGCCTGGGTTTGATGAAGGATGTACAGTCAGTGCTTTGACAAAAAGCAGGTGCTACTTAATGGTAATAAACTGGGGGCAACTTGCCAAGGCCTGTTTTTGAGATTCTTCTTGGCCTCTGGAATGAGGGTCCTCTGACCTGCTTTTGGGGGAGGCAGGTCAGAGAATTCTCTTATGGCTTCCTTCAAGGGAGAAAGGCTGGAGATGGTCAGAGAGAGGCAGTTTCCTTCAGCTGAAGATACTCGGCATGCCAAGGTGCCATATTTTGGGGTACTGCATTCTAAGCCCCGTCACCATCTCACAAAACTGTAGTACACTCTGACGATCAGGAAGACTGGTACAGTCAAGAGAGAGAAAATTTCCACCTGCCCAAAAAGGCATAAAAATAACCCACCCACTTTCTTCCCACGGCAACACTCCTTAACCCTGGCACCCAACAATTTGTTCTGCACTAATATAATTTCGTCATTTCTCTAAAGGGAATAATGCCATATGTGGTTTTGTGCCTGGCATGATTCTCTGGAAATTCATGAAGGCTGCTGCCTGTGTCAATAGTTCATTCCTTTCTACTGCTGCGGAATATTCCACGTTGTGGGTGCACTGCTGTCTGTGTAGCCATTTATCCATGAAGGACATTTTGGGTCACTCCCAGTTTTGGGCGAGTACAAATAAAGCTGCTGTAAACGTGTACAAGTTGCTGTGTGCCTGTCAGTCTCCATCTGGGATAAGTGACCGAGAATGCAGTGGCCGTGGCAGGCTGTCATTTCATCGGCCAGCCTCATGTCCTCGTGGGTGCAAGATCCTGTTAAAACTTGCGCTCTGAATGAACAGACCCCCAGGCAGGCTTTGTGTGAGCAACATGACTGTTTATTCCCCGGGTGTGGGTGGGCTGAGGCTGGAAAGGGTGCGTCGAAGGGTGGGGATAGGAGTTGGTGTGATAGGTTTGTGGTGGGCAGTGGAAAGTTACAGTTTAGGGCATTTTTTTGCAAGCTGGGAGGGGGTCGTAGGGTGTGGAGTCACCCAGGTTGACCAAGGTCAAGTGTACAGTTCTGTTAACTATATTCACATGCAGTGCAACCGTCACCAAAACTGAAAACTGTCCTCATTAAAGCCCATTCTCGGCCGGGCGCGGTGGCTCACACCTGTAATCCCAGCACTTTGGGAGGTCGAGGTGGGTGGATCACCTGAGGTCAGGAGTTCGAGACCAGCCTGGCCAATATGGCAAAACCCTGTCTCTATTAAAATATAAAAATGAGCCAGGTGTGGTGGTGCATGCCTATAATCCCAGCTACTGGGAAAGCTCAGGCAGGAGAATCGCTTGAACCCAGGAGGTAAAGGTTGCAGTGAGCCGAGATCACGCCCACTGCACTCCAGCCTGGGTGACAGAGCCAGCCTGTGTCTCAAAAAACAAACAAACAAACAAACAAACAAAAAACACCACTTTGGTGATCCCAAGGATTTTAGAAGTTATGAGCTAGTAACTGTGGGTGAAAACCAATATGTATATATAATATCACAATAACCTAGTATCTAGGAAACAGAAAGCTATGGAAATAAAAGGCAAAATTAATAATTGGTGCATTGATAATCATAGCAGAAGATTTTAATATACCGTGTTTAGAAATCAGTAGGTCAGGCCAGGCACGGTGGCCCTCACTTGTAATCCCAGCACACTGGGAGGCCAAGGTGGGCGGATAATTAGGTCAGGAGATTGAGACCAGCCTGGCCAACACAGTGAAACCCTACAAAAACTAGCTGGGCGTGCTGGCAGGTGCCTGTATTCCCAGCTACTTGGGAGGCTGACGCAGGAGAATCACTTGAACCCAGGAGGCAAAGGTTGTAGTGAGCAGAGATTGCACTGCTGCACTCCAGCCTGGGTGACAGGGCGAGGCTCCGTCTCAAAAAAGAAAAAGAAATCAACAGGTCAGATGTATAAAAATAAATCAATTTCTGTAACTACCTACGGCATCACTGGGGACATTTATGTGATAGGAAGATGTGTAAGTATGAAGGATCCATATGACTTTCAGATATCCAGAGGCCATCCACATAAACAACCAGGCACTGGGCCAAAATCCTCCAAGTGGAGGTCATACAGTCCACATTTCCTGGCCACTGTGAAATGACATTACTCACTGCCAATCAAAGAATAAACGGCAAGTTATAGCTAGCCACTTGGACATTTTAGAAAACACCCTAAATAATTTCTGCATGAAATGGGACAACCAAACTCATAATTTTAGAGGCATCCTAAGGAGAAAGGAGGGCAGCTGGCAGCGAAGGACATTCGTTTATTTCCCCAGCTCTGGGAATTCTTAGGTCAATGTTGGGGAAATTATTTATTCTGGTCCTATAGGTTTCCTTTGCTAACATGAAAAGGAGATTACTATAGAACACAGAACACTAAGTAAAAAATGTAAGTTTTAAAATCATACCATGCAAAGTTTTTACTGCCATATGGTACCTTAGAAACAAACGCAGGTCCATCTCCAGACCCTGCATTCTACAGTGAAAGGCTGACGTGCCTCCAACACAGATGCTCATGCCCAGGGGCAGATAAGGATACTGGCACCTTGGGCAACTGGGCTAAGAGGTAAGATAGGTAGATATATATACACAGATATGAATATATGATAGAGATATGAAGATGCAGACAGAGGCAGGTAAATACAGAAATGATAGATGGAGAGCTATGATAGAGATCTAGAAGATAAATAGATGGATGATAGAGGTTGAGACAAAGATATATAGAAAAACAGGAACAGAAGCTAGGTATCTACAGGTCTAGATAAATGGATCGACAGAGATAAAAGATGGACACAGAGATACAGATGGATGGATGTAAAATATTACAGATAGAAGAGCTGGGCAGAGAGAAGAAAGGGGCAGTTAGATGACAGGCGGATGTGACAGGATAGACATGGCAGACATACGGAGATACAGAAGATAGA